TCAACAAGGTCGCCTCTTCAACAGCGAGCTCCCTAACATTGTCAAACTGAAGTCCGCCGGGGCGGGCTTGCCAGAGCATTATCAGCTCGCTACGTAGTGACAAGTGTGCTCGGCTCGATTGAGGTCCAAAGTGTATGGATGAAAAGCTCTGGCCAGTTTAACAACCACTGACACAGGATCAGTGCCCAGGAGGTCATTCGGAGGCAACAACAAATCGAAATTATACTTTGGCCCTTCTCCGTCACCCTCACCAAGCCTATCCGGTTGGGAGGGCTGCTGGTCGTGCACTGTCGTATCCACAGGAGGAGGATCTGGCAAGTCAAACACAAAAAATCGGGGATCCTCTGGGGCACTTGCTTCAATAGTCTACTGGCTAGCTCCGGTTTTGCCGGGCTGCTCTTGCTGTGCCTCTGTTGGAGAGCCAAGTGCCATTTTTGCCATGTTGAAGATCGAAACGCGGGGAATCCCTTGGAGGGAGCGTTGGAGTCACAGACAGACTCTTCTCGCTTCCTACGCCCGGCGTATCCTCCGCTGTCGAAGATGGGTCGTCTCTCAAACAAGGCCTCCACTGTTTCCGAAAGTCTGGTGGCGGCGCTTTTGCCTCTCTGTTTGGCATCTGATCGGATTCACTTGGCTTGGCCAGTGACTTCGGAGCAGGCCCAGGAGTGGGCGGAAGCGGCTTCGACGCATTGTCTGACAATGGTTCCCAAGGATTCCTGTCCCCTGGCGGTGGTGCCGTAGGAGACAGGCTCCCTTCCTGAGAGTCGGTGTCCGGCCCAGCAGCCGTCATGTCCCCCTGACCTTTAGGAGTTGACGGCACAGAAGGTCTGGCTGTTTGGGGAGGCGGAGGCTTCGGTTCCTCAGGATCACCCAAACGCGGTGGAGGCTTGGCTGCACCAGAGGCGGACCAGCCTGCCGGCTGTGCCGATGGCTTGGCCATGGCCTCTTCTTGGCCATGAGCCGGGCGATTTCTATCCTCATTTGCTCCGTCCAAGAACGGGTGTTCGAAGGCGAGTTTGCAACCTCTGCTCCCCAAGTAATCCCATACGTTCTCCATCGAAGGATCATACTCGAGCGGTTGCTTGCAACAGTCCCTCCCCCCCTCCCCTCCTCGTCCTCCTACTCCTCCCTCTCTCCCATCCTCCACTTCCTCCTCCTCCTCCTCATCATCATCATCATCATCAGAATCATCAGCATCATCAGCATCATCATCATCATCATCATCATCAGCAGCAGCAGCATCATCATCAGCAGCAGCATCATCATCATCATTCTCTCCTCCACCTCCCCCCTCCTTTCCCATTCCCTCCGCCCACTTCCTCCTCCTCCTCCTCCTCCTCCTTCTCCTCCTCCTCCTCCTCCTCCTACTCCTCCCCGCCTCCTCCGCCTCCGCCTCCTCCTCCCCTCCTCCTCCTCCTCCTCCTCCTCCTCCTCCTCCCCCTCCTCCCTCCTCCCCCTCCCATCCTCCCTCCCCTCCTCCCTCCCCACCCAGCCCTCCCTCCCACACACCCTCCTCCACCTCTCCGTCCTTCCATCCTCCTCCCTCCTCCTCCTCCTCCTTCTTCCCCTTTTCCTCCTCCTCCTCCTCCTCTCCTCCGCCTTCTCCTCCTCCCTCCTCCTCCTCCACCTCCACCTCCTCCTCCTCCAACTTTCTCCCTCCTCCTCCTCGTCCTCCTCCTCCTCCTCCTCCTCCTCCCCTCCTCCTCCTCCTCCTCCTCTTCTCCTGCCCCTCCCCCTCGTCCTCCTCCTCCGTCCTCCTCTCCTCCTCCTCCTCCACCCTCCTCCTCCTCCTCCTCCTCCTCCTCTCCCTAGGCCACCCCCTCCGCTCCGCCTCCCCCTCCTCCTCCTCCTCCTCCTCCTCCTCCTTCTCCTCCTGCGCTCGCTGCAGGTGCGCGCCAGAGACCCCCTTCCACCGCATCTGGGGCTGCAAGGCCAACTGCGGGGAGGAGGCTTACGTGCAGTCGGACTTCCTTTACCCGCAGGCGTGCGCCCAGCATGAGGCCGAGGAGGCCCTGTGGCTGCGTGGGCTGCTGCCAGCGGGGCGCATGCAGGCGCCGTCGCCGCCGATGGACGAGAGTTGGTGGGGCTCTCACGATGACGCGCTGTCGGAGGGGTTCGGCCCAGGCTCAGCCGCTCGTCCCATTCTTCTGTTCGGGGACGCCAGCGGGGGGGCCGACTCCTCCAGCCCGCTGTTCAGACGCGTCGGCGTCGGCTTGGCCCAGTTCGAAGACGAGTCCTCGATGATCCTCTCGAGCACGCTGTCAGGGATCCTGCCAGGGCTCCAGCAGACGGTTCCTCGTGGCGAGTTGTTCACTTTCTTCTGTGCCCTTCGGTGGGCACCCGATTTCCTCATCTACGTTACCGATAACAAAGCAGTCTTTGACGGCTGGCACGCGGCCCGCGATCGCCAGCCACAGGGTGAGAACAGCGATTTGTGGGCTCAGATCGGCGAGATCATGAAGCCTCGCGAGCGGGGCCACGTCGTTGTCCTTTTCACCCACAGCCATATGGAAGCCACAGATATTGTTGCTGGCAAGGCCGAACGTTGGCTCGTGCATGGCAATGTGTTCGCGGACGTCCTGGCATGTTATGGCGCTGATCGCGCCCGCTTGCCCGCCAGCGTCCGTTCCCCGATTATGATTCTCGAACAGGAAGTGTTCTGGATTAGAATGCGAATTCTCCGATCCTCGCTTGACGCGATGGCCGCCGAGGAAAAGCTTCTGAGTGATGGTTCCCAGGTAGGTAGGTTTAGGCGGCGGGGGGGCAAGGGCCTCCGTGGCCCCGCGGTCGGCGAGAGCACTGGTGATGGATCCGCCCTCTCCCCTGGCCTCGCGGCCCCCGTCCCTGCACCCCCGCCGCCGCCGTCTGCTGACACTGTGTCGATTTTCGAGTCTAGCCACGCCCTGGATGATACGGGCCGCAGGTGCCGACGGTGCCGTGGGTCCGCGTCTGTCTCGCTAGCTAGACCTTGGAGAGGCTCCCAGTGTTTTCGCCTAGTGTCTATTGATGGCTCCCTTAGAGGACTCCCAGCTGGGGCGAGGTTGCACATTGCTGGGGGGTGGACCCACCCCTCCCACATGTTGCGCTTCCACCAGGACCTAGGGGTCTGGTTCTGCGCCACCTGTGGGATGTACGGGGACCGACAATTGTTAGGTTTGGGTAAGTTGTGCCCCAAGGTGGTGTCCGATACCCGTGCCGAGTATCTTTCCCGAATCGAGCGGGGTTTATTCCCCAAGGCTTACAGTAAGGCTGAGCTCGTGAGGAAGACTGGGGCCCATAAGGGGCCTTAGTGGCGGGGGGGTTTGGCCCCGCTCTCCTATTCATCTGGACTTCGTCCTGGCACTCCCGACTCCCGACTCCTCCTTCTCCTCCTCCTCCTTCTCCTCCTCCTTGATTCTCCTCCTCTGCCGCCCCCTCCTCCTCCATCTCCAGTTCCTCGCACTCCTCCTCCTCTTCCTCCTCCTCCTCCTTCTCCTCATCCTCCTCCTCCTTCAGTTCCTCCTCCTCCTCCTCCTCCTCCTCCGCCCCCCTTCCTCCCCCAGTTAGCGGTCGCTTGCGGACATGCTTCCTCGCTGTTCAAGTTGCGAGTGTCGGCAGCGTCTAGTTGCGCTACCCTGTCGGCATCCATGGGTGAGGTGTTGGCAGCAGCCCACAGAAGCAATCGGTACAATGAAGGCTCGACCACTGCGAGATGAGACGGTGGCCGGTATGGTCCCTAAACTTCCTCCACCTCATCATTATCCCACTCTTCCGACTCCTCCTGCTGCTTCGCACTTCATCCTCCTACTCCTGATGTTCCTCCTCTTCCGCCTCCTCCTCGACATCCTCCTCCTCCTCGTCCTCATCATCATCAGCCTCATCATCAGCAGCAGCAGCAGCAACCGCATCATCATCATCATCATCATCATCATCATCATCATCATCATCATCATCATCATCATCATGATCATCATCATCATCATCATCATCAGCAGCAGCAGCATTATCATCATCATCATCATCATCAGCAGCAGCAGCAGCCGCATCATCATCATCATCATCATCATCATCATCATCATCATCATCATCATCATCATCGTCATCCTCATCATCATCATCACCATCATCATCATCATCACCATCATCATCAGCATAGGCTTCAGCATTATCACCATGATCATCATCATCATCATCATCAGCAGCATCATCACCATCAGCAGCAGTACCATCATCATCGTCATCAGCATCATCAACACCATCATCATCATCAGTAACAGCATCATCATCATCATCATCATCATCATCATCATCATCATCATCATCGTCAGCATCCTCATCATCATCATGATCAGCATCATCATCAGCAGAATCATCATCCTCTGCAACATCATCATCGTGCTCACCATCATCATCATGATCAGCATCAGCATCATCATCAACAGCATCATCAACACCATCATCACTATCAGCAGCATCACCAAAATCAGCATCAGACAAGCGTCATCAGTATCTCTTCCTCTTCCTCCTCCCCCTCATCATCAGCAGCATCATCGGCATCATCATCAACAGCAAAATCATCATGATCATCATGAGCATGATCACCATCATCAGCATCATCAGCATCATCATCATCGTCAGCATCAGCATCAGCATCATCATCGTCCTCATCGTCATCATTATCATCAGCATCATCAGCCTCGGCATCAATCATCATTATCAGCATCAGCATCAGCATCACCATCATCAGCAACATCAGCATCATCATCGTCATCATCACCACCATCACCATCACCATCACCATCATCACCATCATCACCATCATCACCATCATCAGCATCATCAGCATCATCAGCATCATCAGCATCATCAGCATCATCATCATCATCATCATCATCATCATCATCATCATCATCATCATCATCATCATCATCATCATCCGCATGCGTCTCCTTTTGACCCAAAAGCCCCCGACTGGGCATCTGGCGCACGGGCCGCGCGCGCCCCCCCCCCTGCAGAGGCGCCTGCGGCTCGCTGGACCCTGAGGCGTCGAGCACCAGGTCGCACCCCGCCGATGCGGTCGTGGGCGCCACCAGCTCCGCCTTGCCCCAAGGCCACGCCAACGGCAACGATGGTTGACGGCGATGTTGGAGAATCTAGTTTTTGCGGCGCGGAACTCTCGACCCTCCTCCTCCTCCTCCTCCTCCTCCTCCTCCTCCTCCTCCTCCTCGAAACGGAGAAATCACAGGAAGCACGAACAACGCTCTCCTACAGCTGGGTTGGCCACGAGCCATCCCCCAGCTACAATATACCGAAGCCTACACCGCGTGCCTGCGGTCGGCGGGGTGGGTGCCATCCCCAGCTCTCCCGCAGACGTGCTCGCTTCGAACACAAAACGCACGACGGAACTTTTGTTTGCCCGCTTGGGGCTCTTGGGGGCCCTCCTCGGGCCCCGAGGCCCTGACAAACACGGCTCGGGACGAAGAACCGGCCCTTCGGGAGGGTCAGGACTCCTGGGGACCCCGCGCTGGAAAAAAAACAAGCGAAAAACAAAACAAACAATCAAAAACGGTTGCGCATCCATTTGGGCCTGCCGCGCGCTCGCGGGGCGGCCTGGGGGCCGCGGGGCGCCATACAGATGGCTGCGGCGGTGCCGCCGGCTGCCGAAACGACGAGGAGGAGGAGAAGGAATAGGAGGAGGAGGATTGCGAGGAACTGGAGATGATGGAGGAGGAAGAGGAGGAGGAGGAGGAGGAGGAGGAGGAGGAGGAGGAGGAGGAGGAGGAAGAAGAGGAGGAGGAGGCGGCGGCGGATGAGGAGGAGGAGGGAGGAGGAGAGGAGGAGGAGAGGAGGAGGAGGAAGGAGGAGGAGGAGGAGGCGGCCAGCGGCGCCGAGTCCCTCCCCCACGGATGGCGGCCTCGATTGCCTGGCGGATGGCGGCCAAGAGGAGGCCGCCCCTCCTCCACGGAGGGCGCCCCCGCCGAGGCCGCGCTCCCCCGAGGACGTCGCATGCCGGGCAGGATACGGGAGGAGCTCGACCTCAAGAAACCTTCCACAAGAAGCAACACTGGCACCCCAGGTCGTCCGCTCATATTTTTTGTGTGTGGGGGGGGCCTCACGCTTCTTCCACAGCAGGACCATCGAAGGCCAAGAAACCCATGGCACACTGGAGGCGAACAGGGTGTTTCTTGGCATGGGCCTCCAATGCGCATCTTCAAGGCAAGGCGGCTCTGCGCGGATGCTCCGCGAGACACGCGATGGGGTCCAGAAGCCCCGAATACAAAACACGCTGGCTCTTGGGGGAGGAGGAGGAGGAGGAGCAGGAGGAGGAGGAAATGGAAATGGAAGAGGAGGAGGAGGAGGAGGAGGAGGAGGAGGAGGAGGAGGAAGGGGAGGAGGAGGAGGAGGCGAGAGGTGTCGACCCCTCCGTCCTCGAGCCCAGGGCACCCTGGAGGCGAGCAGGGTGTTTCTTGGCATGGGCTTCCACTGCAGCTGCTCCGCCCCCGCGCCTTCCTGCGACGTCGGCCTCCGGGGGCCCGCTCTATCGGGGCCCCGCGGGCCCTCAACCGCGGCACGCGCGGCGCAAAGCTGCCCCCATCAGGGGGTGAGAAAGAAGGTGGCCTTTGGGGTGAAAGGGAAAGGGGGGTGACGGGGAAGGGGCAGGGGGAAGGTGCTAAGGCCCAGTAGTACGGCCGGCGTGCTGACCCCCCCCCCCTCTTCGCGACCAACGGGTGCGTCGCGCATTCGTCGCCCGTGCGCCGCCCGTGCGTCGGCCGCCGAAAAGGCCAGCCGTCCTCGCGAACGTGCACGTCGCCCTCGCAAGGAGGCACTTGCGGACGCCACCCTGGCCCGGCCAACGAGCGCAGAGGCACCGATCCTCTGCCGGGCTCCGTGGGTGGCTGGCGCCCTGGCCTCGGCGTCGCCGCGGCCAGACGCAGCGCGAACAGCTGGCCAGGATAGACCCTGGGAGGCGCCTGGGGACGACGACGACGACGACGACGACGACGACGACGACGACGACGACGACGACGGCGGCGACGGCGACGGCGATGGCGACGGCGGCGGCGGCGGCGGCGACGGCGACGGAGACGACGACAGAGACGGCGACGACGACGACGCCGATGACGACGACGACGACAGAGACGGCGACGACGACGACGACGACGCCGCTGACGACGACGACAACATTGTTGAATGTTTTTGCGGCTGGGGCCCGAAACGGCAAGCCTCCAATCCAAAGGCGTATGAGAAGAGAGGGACCCAGACTTTGGGCGCACTGCGCCTTTATTCCTGGCGTTGTTCCTTCACTTCGGCCTCCCCAGGGGTATCTCCAGACCACGGAACTCTCGCTGGGGCCATGCCAAAGAGTGACACCACTAGGGGGTCGCCACTTTCTCGAGGAGACGCAATTTCTTTGAGGAAGTAGCCCCCGGCAACACTCCAGAGCCTCCCAGAACGACCCGAACGTCCAAACACCTCCCCGAGCTCCGATGCTTTGGGTAACCCGAAACGGGGTCCAGCTAAAAGGGGTTGGTGCAATAGATTTTGGGCAACTGTTTTGCAAAATGTATTGCGCCGGAGAATTCGATTGCATTGCATTGCAGGTAGTGCATCGCGCATGGAAATGCAGCAGCACATCTGCACCCCGAGATGTAGTGCACGCCCCAGATGTACTGCAACCCCACAAATCTACTGCACCTAATCTATTGCACCACCCCCTCGTCGCTGGACCCCCTTTTGGGTCAGCCCGGGATGCTCGAACCTCCATTTCAAGGAAGAGCCGGCGCCCCCCATGGTGGTGACCGCCCCCTGGCACTGCCCGGATCACGCGTTCACGCGGCATGGAGCGCTGCCCGTGGGGAAGCGGTCGGGCTCGCGGTCGGGACTCCAAGCCGCGCCCCCGTGGATACGCGTCGCTCATTTCTGGTCGCACTAATTTCTAAGTGCGCTCGTGTCTAACTGTTCCTGCCCCCCTGGTGGCCAGGAAGAGGCCCAGGACAAAACAATTAGAAATTAAAGGATCTTGGCCCCCCAAAAAATCAGAAACTTTCGAATACTTAGAAATGAGCAGCGTGTATGCACATGCCATGCAGGGAGGCTCTGCACGGATGCCAGGCGAGACACGCGGTGGGGTCTGGAGCCCCCGAATCCAAGATAAGCCAGCTCTTTGGGAGGCATCCTCACCTTCCGCTGGCTGCCGCTCGGCTTTCCGCCGCTGAAGAGGTGTCGGACCCCTCGGTCCTCGAAGACGGTGCCATTTCTGGGGCGCCCCGCGCATCTATGGGATCGCGCAGCCATGGTGTCACGCCTCGGTGTCCACACTGAGCACGGGTATCCATACATGCCAACAGTCCCGCCCTTTCCCCGGGGCCGATTTCGCATCCCGAGTCGTTCTGTGACGGCCATAGGGCCCGGTGAGGGCCCCGAGAGCCAAAAACGACCAAAACCTATTTCTCCCAAAACGCAAGCATGTCTGTGTATGGACGTATGTAATATATATATATATATATATATATACACAACAAAAAAACCTCGCCCGAGGTCAGAAAGGCCAGGCAAGGCGCGACGCGCCACCTCCGGCGGCGGGATCGACGACAGCACTACCTCGAAATACGCCGATGCCCCGTCCACGACGGCGCCCTGGGGCGGGGGTGGGGGCGCCACTCTCCTCCTCCTCCTCCTCCTCCTCCTCCTCCTCCTCCTCCCTCCTCCTCCTCCTCCTCCTCCTCCTCCTCCTACTTCCTCCTGTTCCTGCTGCTGCTCCTCCTCCTCCTCCTCCCCTCCTCCTCCTCCTCCTCCTCCTCCTCCTCCTCCTCCTCCTCCTCCTCCTCCTCCTCCCCCTCCCCCCCTCCCCCTCCTGACGGGGGGGAAGGGCACCCATGTGAGCGGAAAACCGACGTGGGCTGGTCCGAAGGCGGTTCACGGTGCACCCACGGCTGACGCCGAAGCCAATGCTGCAGTGCAAAGGAAAACGGGAAGGGTACAGTCAACAGGCCTGGTGGACAGCGCATGGCGGATTTCGGACACCCGGAACCCAAACACGATTTCACCTCATGGAACGCATATGTTACTTCCGCCGCCTTCCGCCGCCCTTCCTGTTTGTCTCCGACGCTACACCCTTGAAAATTCGGCGGGGTGCTTTGCGATTGGGCTCGATGAAAAACCGCATTCGCGGCGCAGCACATTCTCCGAAGACCAAGGCACACAATACCACGGCACAGGAAGTCAACACTCTTCGCATTGTGCTGGGGCCCGAAGGGGCGCCGAGACAGGGATGGCGAGTCGTTGGAAGCAAACGAGACAAATGATCCAGCAAACGATGATGCGGCTGGTCTCGCCCCGCGAAGTTCACCCGAACTAGTGCCGTCCAGATGACGAAGGGCAACAAAGCTTCCCTGACGAACCAGTACTGGAATAAACAATAAATTGTACCAGCTCGAATACCAGCGCCAGGGACCGCCGAATGCAATGCGTCACCGCATGAGCCAGGCCGAGACGTGGACCAAGTAGTGCAGCAGCAACAACCCAACGGGGAACAAGTAAGCGGTTCATGTCGACAACCTCTCACGGGCAGAAGGCATGCTCGAGGAAACTGCCCATACAGCCACCCACAGGCCCGTCATCACAGCAAGAACCGGTCCCCGTAGAACACCAACCCGCTGTTCGCAGGACCCGGGGCCGCCTCTGCACGCTCACCTCGCCGGCGCAGAAGCTGCCAGCAGCGCCCAGCCGCGCGGCGGGCATCGCACATGGCAGGTCTGGTCGGATGCGGGCGTTGGTCACAGCCAGGGGGGGGACTTGCGACCCCCCCTGTGGAGGCAAACGGATCCTTGAGCCGCCGAGGCTTCGCCGCCCTTCCATGGGCTTCCGCTGGCGGAGGCGGCCTCGCTCTAGTTCCGCCGGCCTTCCGCCGCCTTTGGCCGCGGAAGAGACGACAACTCGAAGGCAAGGCTCTCTTCGAAGCGCACCACATCGCCAAGCGGTGCTGCAGTCTCCCCTGAACACAAGACCCCCCACCCCAAACGAGGGGCAACGACAGGGGGACTGGCTCAGGGGGGGAAGGCATCGGCCTGGAATCGGCGATTCGTCGCCGATAGATCCGCGATAGGCCCCTGATAGCAGACCCGCACCTTCCCGGGCAAGGCGGGGCTATCAGAGCCCTGTCGGCGATGAATGAGCGGTTGGGGGTCGACGCATCCACCCCCCCCTATGCCTATCCCCCCCTGTCGTTGCCCCTGACCCGCGCATCCGCCACATAAGTTGGGTCTGTACCCTCATGCCGCTGCGGGGCTCTGGGCGCGCTTCGGCACTGCCGCTGCCACTGCCGCGCCCCTCGTCAGGGCCACCGTTCCGTGCGACAGCGACAGCGGCAGCGGAGCGGCGCGGCGGCCAAGCATCTGTCCCGCAGGGCTGCTCCACGGCGCGCACAGGCAGGCCAGAATTTTTATCGCATCCGCGCCGCTGTTCCCTGGTTCCGTCGCCGTTGTTCTCTGGTTCTGGGAACAATATGTTAAACAGATGTCACGCCACCAGACCATTTTCTAAAAACCGCCTGGAACACAGCCCTGCTGATTCTGGGGCCTGCTGCGCAAGGTGTGGCAGAAGCGGCCGCTACGAGGGATGGCAAGAAACGATGGGAGTTTGGAGGTGCAGGAAGGAGCGATACAGTAGGAGGTCGACCACGAGAAACCTTCCGCAATGAACGCAACCCTGAGACCCCAGGGCGTCCATTGATTTGTTGTGTGGGAACGTCACGCATTTCATGGCAGAACCCTCGAAATCCAAGAAAGCCAGGAAACCCAGGGCACCCTGCAGGCAGGGTGTCTCTTGGCATGGGATTCCGCTGCAGCTTGCAGGCCCGAGTGGCGTCGCCCTCCTGCCCGGGGATGCTGCAAGAGCCGAGCACCTGCTCGCACCGAGTGCAAGGCAGCTCAGTCTGAAAAACCGACAGCGGGGAGAGGGGGGGGATTAGGACGTGGACTAGGAACGGCGACCCAAGCGAGGTGAGGCTTCGGAAGGCGGGAGCCTGTGCCACGAGGTTTTGGGCTAGGGTCGGGTCGGTCAACCCTTAGCCTCCCTCTTAGCCAAGTGATTGTCCTCCTCCTCCTCCTCCTCCTCCTCCTCCTCCTCCCTCTTCCTCCTTCCTCCTCCTCCTCCTCCTCCTCCTCCTCCTCCTCCTCCTCCTCCTCCCTCCTCCTCCCTCCTCCTCCGCCTCCTCCTCCTCCTCCTCCTCCTCCTCCTCCTCCTCCTGGGGCAGGGAAGGGGGGCAGGGGAGGGAGGGCAAGAGGAGGAGCGCAGGGAGGGGTGGGGAGGCGAGGCGGCCGAGGGGGGGATTCGGATTCGGACTCGGAGCGACTGCGGAGCAAGATGCTAATGAGCACTCTTGAAGGGGCCCTTGGACACACAAATAAATACACACAAATAACAGGATCCCTCATATATTCTTATAGTTTCTGGGTTTTTGTCTTCCCCCCACTTCCCATATTTTCCCATATGTTCTGGGACATCGACGATGAATTGTGTCTGTGTGTTCTTTCCCTCCTGAACTCTGCGAGCCACCCACTGACCTCCATGAGCAGCACGAGCATGGGTCCCCCCATTCTTGACCAATGTTCCCTCACTCCACCAGGAGCGAACGAGTACGAGGCCGTGCAGGATAGCCGAACGAAAACGCTCAAACCACAGAAGGCCAGGCGACCCCCAACTGTTGGATCACCGTGTGCCAGGCATCCCCGGTTAATATGCCCGCGACTAGTGAACGGATGTTTAAACTACATGGGGAAGCCCGCATGGCTAACGAGAAACAGAGAAAGACAAACCCGTGCATGGTCAGAGCGTGCATAAACCATGACTGAGGAAGCATATCGATATCAATGCAACCACGTGCCCCGAACGCCGCGAGAACCTTCCTGAAGCCCAGGCAGCCGAGGTGCAGCCTGCGAACACCCAGGACAATGACCGGCAGTTGCGCGGCTCGGAAGCACGGACGGCCGGCACGTCCACCTCCAAGAAGGAGACACGCAGCACCGAAGCAGTCCCGCCACAAAGCGGCGTCCTGCAGGGGCAGAAGCCCCCCAGCACGCCGACCGCCTGGGAGGGCAACCCAACCACCAAACGTGCCATGCGAAAGACTACACCCATGGGCGTGGCGACATGGACGCGGAGGCCCAGGTGGAAGACGCCCAGCGCTGGGGATACGCGCCCTCGGCCGTAGACGTGGCGAGCCGACCGCTGAAGCACACGAGGAAGAGGACTGCACCAGCGCCGGCACGTGCCAACTGGACGGGCTGATCGGAGCCTCGGACATCGCCCTCGCCTTCCGCCACGGAGACCGACTGCACGAAAACATGCGGTAGGCTCAAAACGCCCCCCAAGAAAAGGCGGTGGAGGGCGCGAGGCGCGAGGCCTGGCCTCAAGCCAAATTCGAAAGGGCTGCTCGAGCCCAGGTGCCTCGAGGGCGACCGACGGGGGAGGGAGCGAAAGGGCGGGGCAGGGAGGGGCAAACAGGGAGGGCGGGAGACAGGGGGGAAGGGGAGGAGCGAGGGCGAGAGCAGGGGACGGCGAGGGGAGGCGGACGCGTGAGCGATCCACCAGCGAGGTGGGGAGGAGGGCGTGCTCCCCCGGGCAGGGGAGCGCGCGAGGGGGGGGGCGAGCAGGAGACGAGAGGGGGGGGGGAGGGGAAGGGCACGAAGCCCATGAGCACATTCTGTGCGCTTCTCGACTGCCGCGTGTGCACGTCGTCCTCGCGCAGGGGCCGTGCTGCTCTCCTCTGCAACGTGCCGGCTCTGACGGCTGATCCCCGACGGGGAGCCCAGGGGATGGGAATGATTAGCAATAAAAGGACCCCAAACCCTTTGTGAGGGGACCCAAGTTAGGAGGTCCAAGAAGCATTAGGGATACGGGGCCTTTCCTGCAGATGCGTCAAGCCCAACCGCCCAGAATTCTGACCCTGATGCGAAGACGGGGCCTAAGTGAGGCCACGTCTTCACCGTGCTATCAGGGCTAGGGGCTGGTTTGTGCTCGAGGATCAAGCGCCTGACTCCCAAGGGGACCCAAGGGATGGGAAGGGGGGGAGCGCAAGCGGCACGAGAGGAGAGAAGGCGAGGACGCGGCCAGAGACGCAACAGCAAGAGCGACACGCCGTGAACCGAGGAGGAGGAGGAGGAGGAGGAGGAGGAGGAGGAGGAGGAGGAGAGGAGGAGGACGACTCGGACGACAACGACGACGACGATTAGCCTGGGGGAGGCGGGTCCTGAGGGGAGCTGGTCCTGGGCCCCGGGGCCCTCTCCCAGGACGAGCCCTTCCTCCCGAGTCGCTCTTGCACGGCCCCGGGCCCGGGGCCCAGGAACGGTGAGAAAAGATGACTCAGAGAGAGGACAGGAGGAGGAGGAGGAG